CAGACACAAATAGTAAATACACACAAACACTCTGCCCCTTGAGACTTGTTAATAAAACATAGGAATTTAATAACCTTTGTTGCTTCGACGGAATATTTATTTTATTCCACTAGTTATAAAAAAAATGATGTATCATTGATTATTCATATATAAAATAAATGCTTTATTCACCTTATCAAACGAAGAATAACTGAGAGGTTTAATATGTGTGTGATATTATAAAACCAATTTCCATGGCACCTCTCTGGAATAAAAATGTGCTCGATTATAACCGGAAATATTTATGTATTTGTTCAGTTATTCTGTCATGTGCAGAATATATATATATATATATATATATATATATATATATATATATATATATATATATATATATATATATATATATATATATATATTGTGACGGTATAGTGTTGGAGTGTTGATGTTCGGCAGTCCTCCAATGGCAGGTGGCAATGCCTTGTCACACTTACAAAAAAAAGAGACTGCTTGCCTGTTTGTCTGTGGTAAGGTAATGGGAAGACATACAAAACACAAAATATAAACAATGAAATTTTAATTACTTTAGAAAACAAGACATGAACAAAGACAATCCCTTGGCTTACGTAAAATTCAAAACAAGTCAACAACAAAACAACATGAATAATTAATAGATGTGAGAATTTACTCTAATATAAAATAATGTGCAAGACAATAATAATCAGGTGCTGAGAATATTGGCTAGAGCTGCCACCTCCCTTAGTACACGACAGCCAGGGCTTAGTCTACCAGAGAGAGATGTCAACTTCTAAGAGCACAGAGATATTCTGAGGAGGACGGCGTGAGCTGGCCCAGACGTCGACTCAGGTAGAGGGCGTGAGTGCAGGTGCAGGTGTGCTGTCGGCAATACACCAGCCAATCAGGAGCAGGCAGGCGGAGAATGGGTAGTTTGCTCGTTGACGACGGGTGGAGAGCCAGCGTGTCGGGTGGTGCAAGGTACGCTTTGCTTCCTGGGCAAAACGTTTTGTGATACTGGTGGACGTATCTTCAATATAGCATCTTGTACTTGTAGAATGACGTGAATGATATAGGGAAGAGCAGGCTCAATCTCTCTTGAAAGAGATTATCGTCACAATATATATATATATATATATATATATATATATATATATATATATATATATATATATATATATATATATATATATATATATATATATATATATTTCGGTCCGTCTCGGACCTTTGTTATATCATAACAGAGTGCTACGTTACGACCTAATATGGGTCCAGGACGGACCGAAACTCTCACTTCTCTTCATGTGGTTGGGTTGCGTTGTTTGCTTTCAGCCAGGTTATTGTGACTTGCTCTTTGCATAAGATATGTATTATTTACGATATATATGTGTGTACTCAGTTATATACTCATATGTATATGTAACTAAAGCTTAAATTCCTAAACTCCGCTTTTCCAGCTGCTCGTCACCTATGACAAGGTGCGTGTGTGTGTGTGTGCGTGTGTGTGTGCGTGCGTGTGCGTGTGTGCGTGTGTGTGCGTGTGCGTATCGGTAGTAACATAATCAAGAGGCAGTGTTCACCGCCTCAAGATATTGACAAACAGAAAAAAAAACAGAAAAAGTGCAGAATTGCTCCCATAATCTGAAAAGACATTGATGATATTTTTTCAACATAATTTTTTTTCCAGCGTTCAATCAGTGCGTTCATGACGAATTAACGAGAGCGCGTGGAACAAAGACAGAAAAATGAACGCCACCCGGGGAGTCGACTTGACTAGAACTCGTTTTTGTCTTTCTTTCCCCCCCCCATCATCTCACTTGTCGTTTCTAATCCCACAGTTATTATGCTTCAAACAAGGCATATTATACCCACCCGAGCGGGGAGTATTACCACTCTCTCTCCCTGTTTGCCTTCTACAACAACACCGTTTGTTTCGGTCGGGAAATTTTTATCACCTCCTACAATGCTTCATCCTCCACACCCCCCCCCCTCCTCCCTCACCCCTTCCCCCCAACAATACCCCCCTCCTCCTCCTTCCCCTCCCCAACACAATACCCAACCCCCCGCCCCACTGCAAGACGCCGTCAAACTGAAATGAGCATCATGTGTAAACCTTTCACAATGTACATATAAGAGCGGCCTGTAAAAATTGTGCTCAAACAAGTCTTTCAAACAGCCCTAGGCGATCGTCGCTATAATTTCCAAAGAATAATTTTCTATTAGCGGACGAATTTCGACTGGTGGAGTGCCATTGTGGGCCGCTCACCCCAGACTTACAATGGCTGGCCTCGTCAATGTTTAATTTTCGTTTATATACACGACTCACTCCTCGTGCCTCTTTGTATTATTACTTTCACGCTCCCGCCGCTGCTGGCTTCCTGTCTCGTTCTCCCCTCCTCCCCCATCCCCCGTGATGGTGCTCTGTCTCAGTGTACAGTGAGGCTGGGAGACTGTACGGTGGAGCTCGGTATAGTGACTCAGGGAGGCAGTACAGTGGAGCAAGATATAGTGACTGAGGGAGGCAGTATAGTGAAGCAATATATAGTGACTCAGGGAGGCAGTACAGTGGAGCAAGATATAGTGACTCAGGGAGGCAGTACAGTGGAGCAAGATATAGTGTCTCAGGGAGGCAGTACAGTGGAGCAAGATATAGTGACTCAGGGAGGCAGTACGGTGCAGCAAGGTATAGTGACTCAGGGAGGCAGTACAGTGGAGCAAGATATAGTGACTCAGGGAGGCAGTACGGTGCAGCAAGGTATAGTGACTCAGGGAGGCAGTATAGTGAAGCAAGATATAGTGACTCAGGGACGCTGTACAGTAAAGCAGGATATAGTGTCTCAGGGAGGCAGTACAGTGCAGCAAGGTATAGTGACTCAGGGAGGCAATACAATGAATATAGGCTGTTGTATGATACAGGTCCACGTTTTGTACTTTAGGAATTGTAAAGGACATCATCAAACCTAACCTGACTTAGTCCTAAATATGCAATTCTAGGTCTAAGCTATGCATTCTTAGGCTTAATTTCATACATATAGGTGCTATTGTAGGCCCGCCTTGGTTGTTGCCGTCTTTCTCGGACCCTCGAGAAAATGAAGAGTACAAAATCTGGACTTATTTTTTCATGCAACCGTTCATGTTTTGTACGTTCCATCCACAGTCCCTATAAGTACTATTATTTTCGTGAGTGAAAAAATTGAGAACTCTCGCTCTTGGGATGGTTGTAAAGTTGCTGTTATTATTGAGGTAGCGACCTTGCAGCCTCAGTCCTTCTACTTGTGCTCTCCTCGTTCTCTCAGTCATCTCCTCCTTATGCTTCTCCCTTCTTCTCTTCTCTCACATTCCCTTCCGTTTCATCATTTCACTTCTCTCATTCTTACTTATATCAACTCCCTATTTATCTTCTCTCATGCCTCCATTTCTCTTCACTTACGCGGCCCTCACATCTCCTCTCACATCTCTCTCTCACTTTCCACAGTTCTCCCATCCTCCTCTCACTTCCTCCCTCTTACTCTCATCTTCCTCCTTCCTCCAGCCCCCCTAGAAGGCTGTGCCAATGTTTTATGAGCTGGACAATTGTGTCTTCCTTCATGTTCAGTATTACAGCCAAGCCCAACACCACAACACTTAAACCAGTCCAGTGCTCCACCCGTTGTAAAGGTCGCCGCTTCAACCGGAAACGGTTCCTATTTGTTTTATATATCTATATAAATGTAGCCGATGGCCCAGTAGCTGAAAACTATCTATATGATAACGCCGGTGAGATATTTACAAGGCACAACTCTTTACATAAACAAGACGCTCACAGGACGTTTTGGAAGAACGAGATCTATTCAGCTTCACTAGAGAAATTAAAAAAATACTGATAATAATAATAATAATAATATATAATAATATATTTTATCTATATATACAAGAGTTCTTACATTCTTGTAAAGCCACTAGCACGCGTAGCGTTTCTGGCAAGTCCTTAATTTTAATTTTCCATGTAATACGACCAGGGAATCATTAAATGATTTGGTTAAATCGTTTAACAACCAGGTACCCATTCACTGCTGAGTGAATAGAGAGGTACAGGTAAGGATTGGCGCCTAGTCAATCCTCCCCGGCCAGGATACGAACCCAAGCCAAAATGCTCGAGAGGCGCGGGGCGAGTGTCTTACCACTGCGCCAAGGGAAATATAATAATAATAATAATAATAATAATAATAATAATAATAATAATAATAATAATAATAATAATAACATTGCTGTAATAATTCGTACAAAAAATACTTATAGTATTATCGAGTAAGATAAATGTTAATGGTAGTTCATTCAATAACAGTTGGTTATAGCATGAGTTCAGGCAGTTTACTCACGTGTTATTCATATACACTCACACACACTCACACACATAGGTGTACGTATATATATATGTGAATATGTGTAGGTATATGTGTGTGTATTTGTATACAGGGTATGTGGAAGCTGCTCAGAATTCCATTTCTCCTTTGTAAACACATTAATGACACTGTAAAAAGACACCTCGAACACTGTTTATGTTGAACAGACGTAAATCTGTATATTTATGTTTGTAGGTTAACTTAGCATTTTAAAAGCACTACAATCAATTTCTGTGGTTGACTGTTCAATAAATCACTGAACTATATGTTTAACAGATCTCTAACCCTGTCCATGGAGGACAGAAGAAAATGTATATATGTTGATTAGCATTGTAATTTTCTTCTATACTATTGTTTAAATTCTGCTACTGTATAGTAATATTGATGCTCATTCATACGGCTCTCTAACGACACTGGTGCTCCTCGAGCCTATTATACCCCTGCTACTACTCAAGGGCATAGTCCTCAGGTAGTCTGCTGCCTCTCGAGCAGATTGCAGACCCTGGGTAGTCAGTCCAGCTGCTCCTCGAGTGTATTATAGCCCTGTGGGGAGTACTGCTACTCCTTAAATATATTGTAGCCCCCTGGCAGTCCTGCTACTCCTTGAGTGAAATATAGCACCTTGGTAGTCCTCCTTCTGGGCTTTACAAATTGTGGTGGTGAGCGCTGTCAGCAGTTCTTGACTCGCGCTGGGCTTAGCAAGTTGTGGAGGGCCGGCGCTGGGCTCAACAAGTTGTGGTGGGCCGGCGCTGGGCTCAACAAGTTGTGGTGGGCGGGCGCTGGGCTCAACAAGTTGTGGTGGGCGGGCGCTGGGCTCAACAAGTTGTGGTGGGCCGGCGCTGGGCTCAACAAGTTGTGGTGGGCCGGCGCTGGGCTCAACAAGTTGTGGTGGGCCGGCGCTGGGCTCAACAAGTTGTGGAGGGCCGGCGCTGGGCTCAACAAGTTGTGGTGGGCCGGCGCTGGGCTCAACAAGTTGTGGTGGGCGGGCGCTGGGCTCAACAAGTTGTGGTGGGCGGGCGCTGGGCTCAACAGGTTGTGGTGGGCGGGCGCTGGGCTTAGCAAGTTGTGGTGGGCGGGCGCTGGGCTCAACAAGTTGTGGTGGGCGGGCGCTGGGCTCAACAGGTTGTGGTGGGCGGGCGCTGGGCTTAGCAAGTTGTGGTGGGCGGGCGCTGGGCTCAACAGATTGTGGTGGGCGGGCGCTGGGCTCAACAGATTGTGGTGGGCGGGCGCTGGGCTCAACAAGTTGTGGTGGGCGGGCGCTGGGCTTAACTAACTCCACCTGTGCTTCGCTCCTCATCAAAATTTCATGTTCAGTATTTCGGTCTCAAGAGCCGTGCTAATCAATGCTCTAAAATTGTGTTATCAGTTAATTAAATTTCGGGCCGTCACCATCAGCACTTGTGATGACGAAATTCTCCCGTCTTGATAATTTTGTTTCCGCATTTTTAGCTTTTCAGAAACAATACTAATTGATGTTCCAATTTGTGTGATGATCAGTTAATTAGTTTTCGTGTTTTGGGACCATTTTTTCCCCACATTAATTTAAAGCATGTTCAACAGAATATGAAAATAAGAGAATTCTGTTGGAAAAACACTGGCCGTCTGCTTGTCAAGTTTGCGTCACCGCTTCTCCTCCCCGCTCTCTGCGTCTCCGTCGTCGTCTCCGTCGTCGTCTCCGTCGTCATCTTACCAGAAGTATTTTGCGTGCTGACGGAGGAAACAGTAGACGACAGTGGTGCGTGAATGGAACTTTTTCTCCCTCGTGTATATCAGTGGCGGCACGACGCGGGAGCAGTGTCGCTCTTGATACCATCTTCCACACGCTAGATTCATTTCCATGTTAACGGGGGCCTCCCTTGCTGTCTTCTCTGAATGTCAGCAGCCACCTGTGTTGCACACCTTCTGCACACACCTGACTATAGCCCTATACGTGACAAGTCATACACCTGAGACACAGGTGCTCGATGTTTACAACTATACACAGCTGTCGAGACCTGCATTGACTCGCATGCCGAACTCTGCCGAATCCCCTTGACACACCTGTCGAGGCCTATTGATTCCTGCATCTGGCACACCTGCCGATATGTACATCTGACACAGTTACTCAATCCTACACTTGACACACCTAACGTACCATGCACATATGATGTATGCCCTCTACACAAGACAGTCTCAGCACTATGCTCGGGAGATAATCTCAGTGCTCTGTACACATGACAATCGTAGCGCCATGCACACAAGAGTCTCAGAGCCATGCATGCAAGATAATAACAGCATCCTGCATATATAAGTCTCCGCGCCCTACACATACGACAATCTCAGCGCCCTACACATGTAACAATCTCAGCGCCCTACACATGTAACCATCTCAGCGCCCAACACATGTAACCTTATCAGCGCCCTACACATGTAACAATCTCAGCGCCCTACACATGTAACCATCTCAGCGCCCTACACATGTAACAATCTCAGCGCCCTACACATGTAACAATCTCAGCGCCCTACACATGTAACCATCTCAGCGCCCTACACATGTAACCATCTCAGCGCCCTACACATGTAACAATCTCAGCGCCCTACACATGTAACCATCTCAGCGCCCTACACATGTAACCATCTCAGCGCCCTACACATGTAACCATCTCAGCGCCCTACACATGTAACAATCTCAGCGCCCTACACATGTAACCATCTCAGCGCCCTACACATGTAACCATATCAGCGCCCTACACATGTAACAATCTCAGCGCCCTACACATAACGACAGAAACTTGAGGCACACAACTGCCAACCTCTGCACCTGTCACTACACTAAACGGCGAAGACATCTGTTTGAAAACAAAACTGGATCATGTTTTTATCGTACCTCGCACTCACCGTTCAATCTAATAAACCTCTCTCTCAGCTATGATTAAAAAGTAAATAATTATACTACGCCTCTCTTATACACGACTCACAACGGAAAAATGTTTTGTTTTTATGCTGGAGCGAAGAAGTTGCTCGCACGCCATCGTCCTGAAGGGGGTCAAGAGTGCCGGCGGGAGGGCACGGACAGGGAGCTTCCTGGGAGAGGCGCAGCAGGAGCACCCTCGTCGCCAACTAATTGAGGTGCTTGGTGGAGGTGTCGCGAAAATAGGGCGCCGCTTACGGCATGATTCACTCATTTTTTGTCTCATTAATTCGAAGGAGCCGACACGCTATTTAAGCTGTTGACGTAACCAGCTCCTGCGTATTTCCTCTTAACTACGGAGAATGTTTTGTGTTGTGTGTGTGTGTGTGTGTGTGTGTGTGTGTGTGTGTGTGTGTGTGTGTGTGTGTGTGTGTGTGTGTGTGTGTGTGTGTGTGTTGTGTTGTGTGTGTGTGTGTGTGTGTGTGTGTGTGTGTGTGTGTGTGTGTGTGTGTGTGTGTGTACTCACCTAATTGTACTCACCTAATTGTGAGTACAATTAGGTGAGTACACACACACACACACATACACAATCACAGACACACACACACATACACACATACACACACACACACACACACACACACACACACACACACACACACACACACACACACACACACACACACACACACACACACACACACACTCAATCACAGACACAGACACACACAGACACACACACACACACACCTGCCTGCCTGCCACACACAGAGCCTGCCTGTGTGTGTGTGTGTGTGTGTGTGTGTGTGTGTGTGTGTGTGTGTGTGTGTGTGTGTGTGTGTGTGTGTGTGTGTGTGTGTGTGTGTGTGTGTGTCTGTGATTGAGTGTGTCTGTGTCTGTGATTGAGTGTGTGTGTGTGTGTGTCTGTGTCTGTGTGTGTCTGTGTCTGTGATTGAGTGTGTGTGTGTGTGTGTGTGTGTGTGTGTGTGTGTGTGTGTGTGTGTGTGTGTGTGTGTGTGTGTGTGTGTGTGTGTGTGTGTGTGTGTGTGTGTGTATGTGTGTGTGTGATTACCTAAGTGTAGTTACAGGAGGAGAGCTACGCTCGTGGTGTCCCGTCTTCCCAGTACTCTTTGTCATATGGCAGTTTAAAACTACTTACGCTTTTGGCCTCTTCCACCTTCTCACTTAACTTGTTCCATCGTTTTACCACTCTTTTTTTGCACAGGTTAACTTTTTAATATTTCTTCGGCATCTTTCTTTTCTTAGCTTGAACCGGTAACCCTTGTTCTTGAAGTTACAGTTTTGAGGAATTCCTCTTTTTCAATTTGATCGATACCTGTTAATATTTGGTATGTAGTGATCATATATCTTTTTCTTCAGTCTTCCAGCTTTGGCAAATTCAACTTCTCTAGCCTTTTCTCGTAACTCTTGTTTCTTAGTTCTGAAAATCATTTAATAGGATGTCTTTACATCTTTTCCAGTTTGTTGATGTGCTTCTTGAGATATGGGCATTATGCAGCTGCTACATATTCAAATTTGGTCTAACAGAAGTCGTGAACAATTTCTTAGTATTTCCCTGCCCATGTATTTAATAGCGAAGTTGGAAAGTGCAGCATAGGCACTCTGCACAATCTCCTTTATGTGGTCCTTTAGTGATAGCTTACTCTCCAAAACCACCCCTAGATCTCTGTCTTTGTCCGAGTTCTTAAACTGAAAGCGTTTTCAAATAATTTGTAGATTATGTGTGGCCTATTTTCTGTTATTCCGTATTCCATAACGTGGCATTTATTCACGTTATATTCCATCTGCCAAGTGTTGTTCCATACACTTATTTTGTCAAAGTCACCTTGAAAGGCATGACAATCGTCTAAGTCTCTTATCTTTCCTTGTAGCTGAACATGATCAGTAAACACGTTCATATAATTAAGTATTCCTTCTAGTAGAACATTCCATTTAGACAGTGAACATTACTGGTTTTAAAACTGAGCCCTGTGGTACTGCACTAGTAACATTTTACCAATGTGAAACATTGCCTCTGATTACTGCACACATTTTTCTGACATAAAAGTGTTCATTCACGTCAGAAATCGTCCTCTCACCCTCTCCAGAATGTTCCAGATTTCAAAACAACCTCTTGTGTGGGACTCTTGTCAAAAGTCTCTGTTTAGGTCCAGATAAATGCAGTCAACCCAACTATCTCTTTCCTGTAAGATCTCCGTAGCTCTATCATAAAAAGTAAATAGATTTGTGACACAGGATCTTCCTGTTCGAAAGCCATACTGTCTCTGTTATTATATAATTTCTTTCCATGTATTCTAAACATTTCCTTATTATGTGTTCTAGTGGTTTACCTACCATGCTTCTCAATGATGCAGGTCTGTAATTTGGAGGGTTTTCTCTGTTACCATTTTGTATATTGAAACTGTGTTTGCCTTTTTGTCCATTTCTTGTTGCACATTTCTGTTTTGGATTTACCAATATACTTCTTTGAAAGTTTCTTTCTCCTTTACAACTTGCGAATATTTTTCTTTTATTTCCTCCTTGTCCAATTTTACTTCCAATCCTTTAGTAAGATCTACTATTTGAGCTGTACATGAAGTGTTCCTTAACATGTCCTTGCCTTACTCCCAGCATTGGCTAGCCTGTAGGGTTGCTCTCAGTTCTTCTCTATTTTCGTCTATTTTCCCGTCAATTTCTTCAAATTTCTCCCCCCCATCCGTCATTATTTATATCTCATTTTCTTTCACTAATTCCTTGATTAGTACCTCCTGTCTCTTGATCTTGTCGGTAAAGTTGGTAATTTTCATCCTCTGCTGTGAAATATTTCCTTGAACAATATTAATGATATTTTTAACATCTTCATTTCCAAATATAAGAAGTTTTCTTTAATTAATAAAGCTTTATCAAATCCTCAATCATTATTAACCTGCCAAGGAAACCTCCTTTCCCTATTTCTTCCTTGGTGCAACCCTTGAAGTTTCATCTCTTGTTGGCTCTTCAGCGGACACCGATAAATCCATCGCATTGATCATTTTTGTTTTCATTCTCGTTCGTCTGTGTTTAGGGAACCCTTGCTCAACACCATCCCAGACGTGTAGGTTTTGATCAACAAAGCCCACTCTCTACCTTGTATTACTGACCTCGGTATATTTATGGCATCGGGAACACCATTTTCATGGCTCACGTCAAAGCTTGAACGTCATAATGTGATGGTCCTGCAGTTGTCTTAGCCGTGTCGTCGTCGTGTATATGTGCGTGTGTCTGTATGTGTAATTAGTATTTGTGCCTGCAGGATCAATCTGTTAGTTCTTGGACCCCGCCTCTCTAACCATCGGTTGTCTAATGTGCTCACTATCGACATATTTTCCACTATCCTATCTACTACATATATTTCTCTCTAACAGACG